TTTTTTTTTAACTTTTCCCATTTTTTTTTAATTGAAGTACAGTCAGTTACAATGTGTCAATTTCTGGTATACAGCACAATGTCCCAGTCATGCATATACATACATATATTCGTTTTCATATTCTTTTTCATTAAAGGTTATTACAAGATATTGAATACAGTTCCCCGTGCTATACAGAAGAAATTTGTTTTTTTTAATCTATTTTTGTATATGGTGGTTAACATTTGCAAATTTCAAACTCCCAAATTTATTCCTTCCCATTCCCTTTCCCCCAGTAACCATAAGATTATTTACTATGTCTGCCAGTCTGTTTCTGTTTTGTAATGAGTTCATTAGTGTCTCCTTTTTCTTTTTCTTTTTCTTTTCTTTAAGATTCCACATATGAGTGCTATTATATGGTATTTTTCTTTCTCTTTCTGGCTTACTTCACTTAGAATGACAATCTCCATGTCTATCCATGTTGCTGCAAATGGCATTTTATTCTTTTTTATGGCTGAGTAGTATTCCATTGTATAAATACATCACAACTTCTTTGTCCAGTCATCTGTTGATGGGCATTTAGGTTGTTTCCATGTGTTGGCTATTTATTGTATATAGTGCTGCTATGAACATTGGGGTCTATGTGTCTTTTTGAATTAGAGCTCCCCCTGGATATATGCCCAGGAGTGGGATTGCTGGATCATATGGTAAGTCTATTTTTAGTTTTTTGAGGAATCTCCATACTGTTTTCCAAAGTGACTGCATCAAACTACACTCCCACCAGGAGATTAGCGAACAGAATCCAACAGCACATAAAGATCATACACCATAATCAAGTTGGATTCATCCAAGGGACACAAGGATGGTTCAACATATGCAAATCAATCAATATGATACACCACATCAACAAAAGAAAGGACAAAAGTCGCATGATCATCTCAATAAATGTCTTTAAATAGCCAATAAGAGTAGTCTGGCCAGACAAGTGAGTTGGGAGAGGAGGCTGCCTACATAACACAGAAGCTTAGCATCATGGACTCTCAAGCTTAGGAAGGTCTTTATAGATCATCTGTGAGCTAAAAAGACTTCTTCCCAAATAAATATCCGGCAGCAGCCAGTCAAGTGAAATTCTATCACTTGGAATTTATTCCTTTGGATCTTGAAAACATTGATCTTTAATTATTCCCTACTGAAATTTAGACAGCCTTTGTAGAGTATTTGTTTATTTCTTGTATTTCAACTCTCACAGTGGTTTGGGAGAAAGGGTCCAAACAAAGAGAAACAGTTGGAATGAGAAGGTAGAAACAGGGGAAAGAGAAGAAGAGGGGAATGACTGTGCACACTAGAAGAAAGTAGGAGTGTGCAAGAGAAATATGACACCAAAGACAACTTCCATGAAAGAAATAATTGACAGACTAGTTTTCATGAAAACCAGTTTCTCTTGCTCCGTGAAAGATACTGTCAAAAGAACGAGAAGATAAGTCACAGAGTAGGAGAAAATATTTGCAAAAGACATATTTGATAAAGAACTGCTATCCAAAATATACAAAGAACTCTTAAAATTCAACAATAAGAAAACCCAATTTAAAGATGGGCAAAAGACTTGAATGAACACCTTATCACAGATGACATACAGGTGCTAAATACATATATGAAAAGATGCTCAACACCATATGTCATTAGGGAATAGCAGTTCTCTCCTGAGATACCACTCACAACAGTGAGATACCACACACACCTATCAGAATGGCCAAAGGCCAAAACGTTGACAACACCAAATGCTGGTGAGGATGTGGAGCAACATGAACTCTCATTCATCTTTGAATCTCATCACCTCATTGCTGGTGGGAATGCAAAATAGTACAGCCACTTTGGAAGACAGTTCAGTGGTTTTATATGAAACAAAACATTCTCTGTACCATATGATTTGGCAATCACGCTTCTTGGTATTTACCTAAATGAGTTGAAAAGCTGTGTCCACAA